ATCTATTGAAATACTAAATAATTTATTAAAATATCAATTTTATGATATTGAAGAAATTGTTAATTTTTTTAACTAATCTATATAATGTTATTGTCGGCCGCTGTGGTAAGCTGTGCGCGCTTCCACTCCGCTGCGCCTGGGTTCAAGCCCTGGTAAAAGCAACATCGAAAAAAAAAATAGAAAAAGTGTTTTTTTCTTAACAGCGGTCGTCCCTCGGCAGGCAATGGCAAACCTCCGAGTGTATTTCTGCCATGAAAAACAGCTTCTCATAAAAATACAATCGCCGTTTGGAGTCGGCGTAAAACTGTAGGTCCCTCCTCTTTTTGTGACAACATCAAGGCGCACGCCACAAATCGGAGGAGAAGCTCGGCCAAACACTAACATATGTGTAAGCGCCAATCTATTATTATTATATAATGTTATTGATAAAATAATTCCGAAAAAGTACGATATTAATTTTATCTCCTCCAAATGCCGGTAAAAATTTATATTTTTATGTGTTTTTACATTATTGTTTAAATTTTGGACACGTTGGCAATTTTAACATATATTGTTCATTTCCTTTAATGGAATGTGTTGATAGTAGAATTATTCTTTGGAATGAACCTTTGTTGGAACCATCTGCCGCTGAAACTTTAAAAGTGTTATTTGGAGGTGATACTGTATGGCTAAAGTAAAATACTGTAATTATGCTATAATTATGAGAACTCCAGTAATTGTGTTGTCAAATAGTGATATATTTGCAAGCGATTCAGCTTTTCGATCTAGAACGTTTGTGTATAATGTGTTTTAGCACCTTTTCTTGACGGTGTTACGCATTTTTTTCATACAAGGTAAGTATGTTCGACAATTTTTTGATAAGGAAGCAAATGTGCAGCACCTTGCCCTTGAACTTTATTATACTAAGTTTTTATGAGCTACAATACTGCAAACCAAAATTTTTTCAAAAAGTTTGAAATTTTGGTGGAATTCTGCAGAATTTTCGTAGTTTTTGCGCGAAGTCAAAAATTTGGATTCACTAAAATTATTGCTGTTTGTTAGGAAATGGGCTTTACTTTCATACAAAAATTATAAACATTAAATAAACAAAAGAAAAATAACCAAAAACCTTGCTAAAATGTTGAGTCCTAATTTATATTTTGGTCACTGTATATGTTTCTCGATTCGAATCACAAGCATCCAGACTAGAAAATAATAACTGTTACATCATATACCAACATCACTTTAAACTGGTCCATAGCCACGCAATTTTAATCAGCTGTTAAGCAGTGTTACCAAGTTTTGGATTTGAAAAAGCACTAAAACCCTAGAAAAAACGCGTTTTTTATATATTTTTATGTATTTATATATTTTTATAAAACAAACTAGCCAATGCCCGCTTGCTTCGCGGCGCCTAATCAGATCTTTTGCGTTGGCCAATACAAAAATAGCGTTTAAAAGCAAAAGCGGGGTGTAAAGTAAACATCTTTTGTTTAAAATGAAACGACTTAAGAGCAGAATCCTCCTCACATATAGGCCAAGAATGGTAGCGCTGTGATACCATATGGAATACTAATCCCTTCGATGTCATGAGTTTTGCCGATGGCCTTATTTCCACCTGTTAGCCCTATGGAAAGTAAATACGTCTAAGGTGAATATAGGGCCAAAAAAGACCAAACCCCGTGTGGGTTTCTATATATATCGGCTGCAGCGCAATCCATAAGGTCCCTTTTCTGCAAAACCACTGCTTGTCACGAAATGAATTCGCATTATGAATTTCAATCAGATTTTATAAAATATAGCGGGTTCATTTTTAGTAAACGAATTTTTCATTATACAGGCAGCGAATTTGAATGAAATCGGCTAATAAATACGACTTTTATAAGAAACTCTACTCCAGCGCCACCAGCGTGTTGTCTAGTAGGCTATAATAGGACCATATATGCAAGGTATAACCTCCGAAAATTTGAGTGTTTTTTAGTTCAGTCCGAGCAACGAAAACGGCTATAATTTTATGTATGTATGTACATATATGTTTGGAATGAAAAAAAGCATCATGAAAGTAATAAACGTTTCGAATTTGCATTAACAAAATCGGTTCATAAATAGGGCTTTTATCGGGTCCGTTTTTCGCAAATGCTTTTTTTATCATGCAGGTAGCTTATACTTTGAAATTGAACGAAATCGGTTCATAACTACGGCTTTTATAAATAACTCAACTCCCGCGCCACCTAGTGGGTCTATTTTTGGTAAACGTATTTTCCATCATGCTGGTCGCTTACATTTGAATTTAAAAGAAATCGGTTCATAAATACGATTTTTATAAATAACTCGACTCCAGCGCTACCTAGCGGGTCTATTTCTCGCATACGTATTTCCCATCATGGAGGTAGCACGCGTTTTGAATTTGAACGAAATCGGTTCATAAATACGGGTTTATAAATAACTCGACCCCAGCGCCACCTATCGAGTTTTCTGGTAGCCTATAATAGGACCATATATGTAAGGTATAACCTCTGAAAATTTTACTGAAATCTATGCAGTAGCTTTTGAGTTAACTCCGAACAACGAAAACGGCTATTATTTTATATATACATATATGGATAAAGTTTCGAATGGCACATTCAATGGCTTTGTAAGCAATCTTTCTAGTTGTAAAAAACAAAACAAAAACATAGTGTATTCTTTACACTTTATATACTAAAACAATCAGTCCCAGGTATAAAAATAATACAAATTACATATCGAGCTCAAAGATAATATTGTCATCATTATTTTGGACTTCTTCTGGCCACAAAACTGACTTGATGTCAAATTCAGAGGGTATATAAATGGAAATGTTAACTTCATCAGGTATTTTGTATCTCTCGCAGCAACATTTGTACGCCTAAGTGCGTTTTTAATATGTAATATAATAATAGATTGGCGCTTACACATATGTTAGTGTTTGGCCGAGCTTCTCCTCCGTTTTGTGGCGTGCGCCTTGATGTTGTCACACAAAGCGGAGGGACCTACAGTTTTACGCCGACTCCGAACGGCGGTTTTATTTTTATGAGAAGCTGTTTTTTGCATGGCAGAAATACACTCGGAGGTTTGCCATTGCCTGCCGGGGGACGACCGCTGTTAAGAAAAACCCTGTTTTCTATATTTTTTTTTTGCGATATTGCTTTGACCAGGGCTTGAACCCAGGTGTTTTGGAGTGGAACCGCGCACTGCTTACCACTACACTACTTCGGCCGACGACGTTTTTAATATGTAGCAATGATTTAACGGAATGCAATGACATGCGGTTACGGATTTTAGTCTTAAAAATGTTCATAGCACTGAAAACACGCTCAACTTCTGCATTAGAGTAATGGCAGATGTCTAATCGCTAAGCAGTCTTCATAGGATTTGACTTTTACCCAAAACTCGGTAGTGGACACTATGTTTTCCCATTGCATCAAATGAATGTTTCGCCAATGTTGCTATTAATAAAAACGTGACTTGCAGTTGACGATGTTGAAAGAAGAGAGAGTTTATTTCAAGGTTTTAGTGTATTAGTTCACAATTTGTACATAACAGGGTTGTATTGTTTAGTATATTTCAATACCCCTACTATAGCAAACAAGCGATAAAGTTTACAAATTTTCTATGTATTGAACTCCCAGCTTATTAAGTAAATTGTAATGTTTTATACTACATTAGCCCTTTGTAAATAAATCAGCAGGCATGTCGGCTGTAGGCAAATACATAATATTTAATATCTTTCCGTTTACACATTCTCGGCTGAAGTGATATCGGATATCAATGTGTTTACTTCTTTTATGAACTATAGGATTTCCCTTCAGCTTCTGTGCGCTCTGATTGTCATTAAATAAGTTAATGGTATACATGGTTTTTGTTATTTCAAATTGTAAGTTTCTTAAATATTTAGCCTCTTTGCAAGCGTCTGAGATACCCATGTGTTACCAACAAATAACACCTCCGGACAACTTGAAACACATGCCAGTGTAGGAATTTCTATCTACAGTATTGTTAGCCCAGTCGGCATCAACAAATCCTTCTACTTCTGAGCATTCATTAGCTGTGTACTTTATGCCATAATTTTTGGTTCTCTTTAAATATTTTAGAATTCGTTTCGCATATGCTCTTTTGTAAAACATTGATTAAATTGGCTAAGAAAACCTACAGCGTATGCAATATCTGGTCTAGTCAAGACAGCTAAATACATAAGACTTCCTATTAACTGTTGATACGGAAAGTTGATTTCGCAAATGTTTTCGCGAATAATAGATAACTTACTCTCCATTGGTGTATCTACAGTTTCACAATCATTCATGTTAAAATTTTGCAATACTTGATCAACACACTTATTTTGACATAAGGATATTTTTCAAATTTGTTTGTAATTACATTTATACCAAGACATTTTTTGATTTCGCCCAAATCTTTGATTTTAAATTTACTGGCTAGCTAGGAGTTTTAAAAATTTAGTTTCAGTATTATCGTTTAAAAAAATTAAGAAATCATCTACGTAAAGCGTAACAATAGTTTTGGATTGATCTTTTACTTTTGTATACCAGCAAGGCTCTAATTTAGATATTTGGTAGCCAATTGCCAGTAAACACTCATCTACCTTTTTGTACCAGGCCCTTGAGGATTGCTTGAGGCCATAGATTGCCTTTGTTAATTTTCATACCTTTGTGGTAACCCTAAGTTTCGCATTGAAATCGTACACGATATGGCAATTGCATTTTTAGCATACTCTTCTTATTTAGACATTCGCATTAAATTTTCCCGCTACTCAATACGAACCTTCTAGAAATATTTTCGGCAGGTGATCGGAGTACTTAAATTCCTGCTTCAACAAATACTGTATTCATTACCGGTTCTAATCTTGTCACGTGATCACAGACAGTGATATTGTATAATTTTAGTGGACATATCTGTAGATAATTATAGAGTTAAATAAAGACTATTGAAGTAAATTGTCCAAAGTGGTGACCCCGAAGAAGTGAACGCGTACAACAAGCTACAACATGCCACCTGGCGAGGAAGAGCAAGGTGCTAGTGGAGCACCCACGAATTACGTGCACAGCGGCGTCACACCGCCAAAACCAATGCAGCACATGACAGCTCAAAGCTATACTGTTGACAGCCTCGCCATGAGGGTGCCTGTTCCAACATTACACGGGCATTCCATCAACAACATAGAGTCCTGGTTCACGCGACTAGAGGCGTACTTTTCAATCATCGGCTTCGGTAAAATGAATGCTGATCAGCGTGACCAAGCCAAGTTCAATATTGCGGTTATGCACATGGATGAAAGGCTCCATGAACAGACTTTTGAATTTATCCGCAATCCACCGGAGAAATGCCAGTACGACGCTCTACGACAAGCAATTTTCGCCAGATTCCCCACATCACCCATGGCAAGATTGGAGCAGCTAACATCAGGAATTCAGCTTGGTGACAACAAACCGAGTTTCCTATTAACCCAGCTGCAACGAACCGATGTAACACGAGACCAGCAACTCATAAAGGACTTCTGGATACAACGACTACCAGTCTCAGCACGCGCAGTCATCGCTGGAGTTACAATAGCAAATCCTGAAATGACGGTCGAACAGCTAGCATCAACCGCGGACGAAATTGTTGATGCCGTACGGGTCAATAGCGTCGATGCAGTGTCATCATACGAACCACAGTATCCTAACCTCAAAAAACCACAAACAACGAGCTTGACTAGCAATAATGGAACTAGCTTGGATGACCGTGTCAGTCAGATGGAGCGCACTTTAGCTCGCATTGAGAAAAAACTTTCATCAACAAACCCAAACCGCAGCCGCTCGGTTACACGACGTCAAGACCACAGCTCTTCAAGTCACCGTAGCCAATTTCAACAACGGAACAATGAACAGCAGATTTGCTGGTACCACAAGAAGTTTAACGCACAAGCCAAGAAGTGCAACAGCCCGTGCAGTTTTTCTCAACAGTGTCCAAAAAACTAAGCACTTCGGTGGCATTGCCATCTAATGTCACCGAATCATATAGCGCGTCCCCAAACATACTATCAAACGCAGCAAGTTCAAACCTCAAACAAATACATTTTTCTTCTACTAATCGCCTTTTTATTCATGATGCCTTATCAAAAAAACAAGTTTTTAATAGATACTGGGGCAGACGTGTCTTTACTTAAGGCCACACCACAAGACCGACTTCGGAAGTTTAACACATCGCCAAAACTATATCCTGCTAATCAGTCAACCATCGATACCTTTGGTCAAGTGAGGGTCAAGCTTGACCTGGGTTTTCGGCGCTCCTTTGAATGGATTTTCTTGGTAGCGGATACGCCTTACAGCATTATTGGTGCAGATTTTTTGCGACATTTTAATATAATTATCGACCTCAAAAATGCCACAATCATTGATAAAGAAACGAATTTGAAAAGTTATGCCATCGCAACGGTAGACCTATCAACACCAACCCCAAAACTTTTCGACATTAACCACAAACACACACATCTCTCCTCACCTTACGATTTGCGAGCGGCAACAACCACTGTGACACATTGTATTGAAACTTCTGGCCCACCAGTTTTGGTTTAAGAAACGCCGTTTGGTTTAAGAAACGCTGCGCAAACGTTCCAAAGGCATATGAACGAAGTTCTTAGCGGCCTGGACTACGCCTTCTGCTACTTGGACGATAGTTGCATTTCATCAGAGACACCACAGAAACATGAACAACATCTTTGTAGAGTTCTGGAACGTTTACGAAAACACAACTTAAGCATCAACATTTCAAAATGCGTTTTTGGTGAGTCACAAATTGAATTTTTAGGTCATCTAGTCACACCAAACGGCATCAAGCCATTGCCGCAAAAAATTGACGTAATCAAGGAATATCCCTTGCCCAAGACAGCTGCCGAATTAAAAAGATTCCTGGCAATGGTAAACTTCAACCGTCGTTTTCTTCATCACGCATTGACTCACCAACAACCTCTTTTGTCTTTAATAAATGGCAACAAGAAAAACGACCAGACACCAATTCACTGGGACAACAAAGCAATCGAACACTTTGAAGGGTGCAAACGTGACCTCATAAACGCAACATCACTTGCACACCCCGCTCCCGACGCGGACATTGTCTTATGTACAGATGCCAGCGACAGTGCAATCGGTGCAGCCACACATTCGCATTTTTTTCGAAAAAATTTAACAGCGCACAGAAGAAATACTGTACGTATGACCGGGAACTGCTGGCTATTTACGAGGCAGTCAAGTCAGATACCTCCTCGAGGGTCGTAACTTTACAATTGCTACGGACCACAAACCACTCACCTACGCATTTTCGCAGAAAACCGAAAACGCTTCTCCTCGGCGGTTGAGATATTTGGACCTAATTAGCCAATTTTCGACACGTATTGTACACCTTCCAGGCGCGTCCAACACACCAGCAGATGCTTTATCGCGGATTAACGCTCTACACATCAACGATGAAATCGACTACGATGAAATAGCACGCGAACAACAGCATTGCCAGGAACTTCAGGCAATCCTAGATTCTAATACATCCTCTTTGCAATTAAAATCCGTGCAGCTACCAGACTCAGAAGCCAGAATCATCTGTGATTTTTCAGGTTCAGTAGCACGACCTTATGTGCCACCAGCATGCCGTACTGCAGTCATCCGGAAGTATCATAATCTCAGCCATGGAGGCAGAAAAGCAACTACTCGACTAATAAAACAACGTTTCGTTTGGAAAAACATGGAATCAGAGATTGCCAAGTTCACTAAACACTGTTTGACATGTCAACGTACCAAAGTAGGTAGACATATATTCTCTCCACTAATGAAGTATGCTCTGCCATCACAAAGGTTCGAACATTTGAACATCGATCTTATTGGTCCGTTACCACCATCGAATAACTTCAAATACTGCTTAACAATAATAGACCGGTTTACACGATGGCCGGAAGCAATACCAATTAGCGACATCAATGCAGACACGGTTGCATCCGCTTTAATAAATGGTTGGATTAAACATTTTGGTGTACCTCTACGAATAACCACCGACCAGGGCAGGCAGTTTGAATCACAACTATTTAACGAGCTGTCGCGTGTCCTCGGTGTGTCACATTTACGTACAACTGCCTACCATCCACAAGCCAATGGTATCATAGAGAGGTTTCATCGCACACTTAAATCGGCAATAACATGTACAAACTCAAGCAACTGGTCCCAAAAGCTTCCAATTATTCTACTTGGCCTTCGTTCAACCCATAAACCAGACATTAACTCCACCCCCGCAGAGTTGGTATACGGAACAACTCTGAAGTTACCCGGCGATTTCTTCGTGCAGACAAAATACGTTCCGCAGTCAGAGTTCGTACAACAACTAATAGAGAACATGCACGACATCCAGCCAACTGATACATCGCATCACCACAAACAAAAACCGTTCATTTATCCAACTCTGGAGAAAGCAACTCATGTTTTCGTGCGCAATGACGCAGTGAAACCACCACTAACACCGGCATACGAGGGGCCGTGCAAAGTAGAACTACGTAACAACAAGATGTATAAGGTCTGGCTACGAAACAAACTCATTAACGTTTCAATAGACAGGGTAAAGCCAGCGCACATCCTCAACGAAGATAACACCCCAACAACGTACGAAAGATGTCACAACATCGCTGAAAAACAAACTCGCAGTGGTCGTAAAGTTCGACTTCCACTTCGCTTCGCTCCATAAAAGTATAGCAGGGGTGTACTGTGGTAACCCTAAGTTTCGCATTGAAATCGTACACGATATGGCAACTGCATTTTTAGCATACTCTTCTTATTTAGACATTCTAGAAATATTTTCGGCAGGTGATCGGAGTACTTAAATTCCTGCTTCAACAAATACTGTATTCATTACCGGTTCTAATCTTGTCACGTGATCACAGACAGTGATATTGTATAATTTTAGTGGACATATCTGTAGATAATTATAGAGTTAAATAAAGACTATTGAAGTAAATTGTCCAAACCTTGTTACATCAGGAAACATTTCTGGTATCGACATGCAAATAGTTTCCTCAAGATCTCCGTTCAAAAAGGCAGTTGTTACAACGAGATTAATCGTTTGAAGCCCAAGCTGAACTGATAACGCAAATAACATCCTTAGTAATGTAGAAGTATGTATAACAACTGGAGAAAAAGTTTCTTTAAATTATACACCCTCCTCTTGGGAATACCCTTTGGCAACTAAGCGAGCGCGAAAACGTAGTTTGTTATCAGCATCATATTTATTCCTCAGAACCCATTTGCATTTTACTATCTTACCGTTCTGTGGAGTGTCAACTAACTCCCACGCTTCGTTGTAGAGCTGCAAAAACATCGGAGCACTATTGATAGTATCGATGTTTAAATATTTTTTTGAAAACATCGATGTTTTTCTTACAATCGATGTTTTTAGAGCATGTGACATCATTGGAAAGTTTATCCGTTGCTGATTTGGGGCAGGCAAGAAGTATAAAAAATAAAGCGTAATAAACTCATAATCTTTAACAGAACGCTAAAGCGTAACAACAAGGCCAAAAAGTTTAAGCTTACAGCCTGCTGTCTTAATTTTTCCCTACGAAATAATGGAACGGGCATATATAGCTGTTGTAAACAAGGGTGCCTGGTACTCTTCACAAACAAACTTTAGCAAACCATAGTAGAAAGCTTATCAAATTTCTTAAGAACTTCGTACTGCTTAAGAAAATTTGGCTCTATAAATTTTTCTTGACCATTTCTTGGGCTTTTTTTTATTTGTCGAACTAAATAAATGTTTGAAAATAATCATGATATAAAAATTTGAAGAAACCGCAGCGAGACAGCCTGAACATTTTTGAAGTTTGCTAACATACCGAAAATGTTTTCAAATTTTCAATATCACAAATACATTCTCACTTCCATTCTCAAATAAAAGAAAATTTGAATGTTTTCATATACTTGTTTTTTGTTTTACTTGAGTTGCTCTCAAAATTTCAATTTTATAAAGTGGACAAACTTCAAAAAATAAATGATGGCCGACGAACTGAGCGAGCGGTTTTACCTTGAAATACTTGTATCTTGGAAAATAATAACATATAAAAAGAGATCTAGTTTTTATTAACCCGTAACTTTCATTTCATTTCTGCTTGGATATAAAAATGTAATACCAATGGTTTGTCTCTACGGGAAGCATTGAACACCGAATAACGAATATTTAAAAAAATTAAGACCAACCAACGCAGATCTCCATTATTTGAGAATATCGAGCAGCACTAGTGTGCCCATTGTAATTTTTCAATCCTTAAAGTAAACTGAATAAAAAAACATTAAACTGTACCTAATTTTTGTTGTTTTGCGAGCATATTTACCAATGTTTTTGTGCTTATCTAAGCGGATTTTTTCTTGCTTATTTTCTTCAGCCCTGGTTATTACTAACAAATTGATTTTGTCAGTGCAATCTCTAATTGGGAAAATTAAGAATAAAAACCTGAAGTGTACCCTGGATAATGCCTTTAATTTATTTAATAAGACATAATTTATAACACATATTAATAGTGTTGTTGCTTTATGAATACTTTTATATTATTATAAATTAAATGTGACCTGAAAAATTAGGTACGCTTGTTTAAGATAAAAAGCAATTGGTGCAAAAATGTGATAGCCTGCATGCAGAAATTCTTTCTCTACGCGCTAAACTTACTGATAAAGATGCCGCTATTTCTTTGCCTACTGCTGAAATAAAGAAAATGCATGGCATTGTTGGCTCCAGTAACATCGGTCCAGTTCGCGCCAACAAAAGCAGTGAAACAACTGGCGCTGTTGAGCACTCAGTACCCTCTTCCCCTTCTAATTTGCTTGCTGATGTTGGTGTTACGCCGAATGCAGCTAATTCTCTTGAATTTGCTTCGCACACTCACGCTACTGCTGGCGCTACGCCGCTCTCTGCTGGTACCTACAGAGATGCACTCACAAATACAGCTAATGCA